GCATGCATTATACATGCATGATGTGCCCCATAATCAGTATTGATTATGGGGCAACAGTGTCTTTAGTAATCAATTTACAGTTAGCAATCACAAATACTATTTACTGCTAGCTCGATAGAAATGTCAAGTTCGTTATACGAACCTAACCGATTTCGTTAAAAATAATCTTGGTACATTAGAGACCTTGTGCAGCTGTCTCAAAACAGTGGAGATGATATCCGATTAGACAGGGAACATATATGACTAAAGCCTTGTGCAGCAGTAACATTTTGAAAGGAGTAAAGCAATGGACAGTGACAGCTCCAGCTCTGACGAGGACAAAGTGGTAATTGCTGTGCTATTGGCGCGCAAAAGTAGCGCTCGAGCATCTTTTCGCTTCAACTTTAACGTACCAGCACTTGACGGCACTTGGAAAAGAAAATTCCGTTTCGAAAAAGATGACATTTTGCACCTTGTAGACCATTTCAAGCTTCCAGATCCATTCCCGACTCGCCAACGCTATCTCGTGTTAGCACTCGAGGCAGTATGCATATTTCTCCGGCGTATGGCATATCCGGCACGTTTAGATGATCTAAAGGACCTGTTCGGGCGGGACGAGGCAGCAATTTCTTCGATTTCTAATGCGGTTCTAGAGTATCGCTACGACACGTATCACAAGTTTCTAAACTTTGACCAAGTCCGGCTTTGCAGTGACACACTCGACACGCACGCAAGAGCTATCCATCTAAAGGGCGCACCATTACGGACGTGTGTCGGATTAATAGAGCTTCCTGAACCGAACCGTCGTAAGCTCTCCATTGCGCTCTGAACTACTTCTGCCGAACCCGACTCACGGCGTTTAGCCTCTCTTTTCTCCTTTTCTGTCTTGTCAGCCTTGGCTTGTGCGTGCTCATTATAGTGTAGATAAAAAGCATACGCAAAACTTATGTCACTAGTATCAATTAAAACTCACCAGAGTCATGCAGCCTGTCAGTAGTTGCTCACGCTCCTCGTAGTCTTCGGCAGAACCCGACGCTCTCAACGAGTCGAGCTCGTCGCGGCGAAATACCTCCAAGAACGTATTGAAGCGGCTACGGCAAGCCTTGCCGTCGGCGGTACACGATGTGAGCGCTGCCTTGAGTCCTGTGGCGACGCTTGTCCACACAGCTAGCGTCTCACCATGGCTAGCCGCCCAGGGACTGTGCTTGAGGGCTTATTTGAGCAGCATAATGTCACTCGACGGTACGAAACGGAAGGCCTTCTTGCGCTTACTAATGCTGAGGTTTCTGGCTGGGTTTGGGGGCTCTTCAGTGTTGCAGTCTAAATTAGCCATGTCAGCGCTAAGTAGCCTCGGCCACTCGTTTCTTTGTAATTGTGGTCACCGTGAGCAGAAAGCTAACGTACTTTTCTCCTAATAAAAAAGACAATGACTAGCCTGCCCTAACCTCATTCGCCTTCAGTGTACATTTTCACTGTTTTGAGACAGCTGCACAAGATCTCTATTACCGGCCATTTGCAACCGAGGTTGTATTTTTTTTTTTTTACCATCTCAGACGCTGGATTCACAGTACTGGCCTCAGTTGTGCATGCACAGCATCTGAAAAGTGGCGTGAGATTTGTATAAGTGTTGCACACTGAATGTCCGTTGTCACCCTGTTTTGCAACCCAATAACTATACAAAGAGCCAATTGGGTTTAAATCGTTACTGTATTAACCGAATCTCCCGCTCCGGTCATTACCACAAGAACCAGCGCCAAGACAAGTCGATACATAACTAGTCAGGATCATGTCCTTCAAGGACGGTGTCGAGTACAGCTGCGACCGCGTATTCACAATAGAGGAACTACTGCAGATCAAACCCGACCACTCGTGCCGTTGGATGAACCAACAAGCGTATGGGGAC